CAGGCATGATGACCTGAGTTCCATTCCCAGTAAAACATAACACAACACAACACAACACAACATAACATAACATAACATAACATAACACAACATAACACAACATAACACAACATAACACAACATAACATAACATAACATAACACAACACAACACAACACAACACAACGTAACATAACATAACATAACAGGACCATATTACTGGGTGCTATGCCAGGACAGAAACTGTCCAATTTATGTGAAAAGTTCAGTTGAGTCCATGATAATTGATGTAAAAAATAAATGATCTAATTAGTACTCCTCACTATTTTGGGTTATTTTCAGATTTTGTTGTGAATTAAAAGAGTTGAGAGAGAGAGATAACTACAACTCAGGTGGTACTGCTTCCTCCCAGGGATCTTAAGATCCCAGGTACTCCAGGCACTTTTTTTGGTTTTGGAGAGATGGGATTTTTAAAAATACACATAAACAATATCTCTGCATCTTCCATAAAAATAGGATTGAAGCATTAGTCTCTAATGTTATTTTTATAAGATCCATGAAATACAGTCTTTGGTAATTTAGTACCAGGAAAACATTCGTCTATCCTGGATGTCCAAGAATGTTTCCTTTCATCAGATAAGGACAATTATCTGACCAATATTTCTTTTTCTCAGAGACTAGGAAGTTAATTCAACATCCAAAGACAGAAATGATTTTAAATGCTTGGTGCTCCCCAGTAGAAATACAATGTGAGCTATTTTTGTGGGGGTTTTCCATGTATGTAATTTAGGACTTTTAGTAGCCATTTTAAAAAGAAAAAAGTGAAAGAAATAAGTTTGAACAACATATTTTCTTTAAGCAAGTCATCTAAACTAGTATCACTTCAACATGTAATTAAAACAAAGTCCTTAGAAACATAAGAGCTACTCTACTCTAGAAATTTGCTGTGTATTTTATTACCCTTTTGAGGGTCTACAGTTTCATTATCATTCTTGCTGCGGATGGAGCCACTGGGTGACATCCTTGGCAAGATGAGCCACATTTCAAGGGTTCAAGAGCCACATGTGGCTAACGCTTTTATATTGGAGCAGGTAAAGGTGGCCAGAAGGGCAGCTTGTGTGTGCTTGTCTGGATGGGTGTGTGGATTTATATATTCACAGGATTTTTCCATAACTGATTTCTATGATGTTACTTTGATTCTGCACTGGAAGTTTGCAGGCCATGTTACATAAGCGTATAAATAAGTGAATGAAGAAATGGATACTAGGAGATGTCTTAGCTCAACCTTTGCCTACGTGGCTTCATATGACAGGTGAATATTAATGCTTTAGCTTTTGGCATCCTCCTTGAAGAAGTGACAGATTTCACTAGATGGATTTTAAGTCTGCCTCAGCTCTAGGGAATGATAATTTTGTTGCCTTTTAAAACTCAAGTACTGCATTGAGACTGTGCTTTCAATTGAGCCACATGTTACATCATATATCATAATATGAACTGAAAACACGCCTTCCCTCTCTCTCTGCACCTGGCATCAAAATCAGATGAATCAGTGAGGACAGGAACGGAAGTGGCTGGCCATTCTTGCATGGTGTCAGGTTGATCTGTCAAATGCTCAGTGACAGCATAGAACTCTTGCTCTATAGCAGTTATGCTGAGCCAGTCTCTCCAGAGACACTTCAATGAGAAAGTCAATGACAGTATTTCTAAAACAGCTCAGAATAATTGCATAGTTAACTCTAAACATCATTTCCCAGAGCCATGAAAATCACTGGATTATCTTTGACTCTATTTTGTCCACTTGTTAGTCAACATATGAAAAATCAGAATACCTGATAAGAGTAATTTGTATACTGCAGCTACAGCAGAGAGTTTATTTTAAGTGATTTAGAAGCTTTTTTCATTTTTTACATGTGTTTCATTAAAACACCAAATATACATTGAAATAGAAGTAAAGAATACTTTTAAAAAAATAATCCTTCTAATTTGCACATTTTTTTTCATGCCACAGATAACATTATACTTTGTAAATGGTGTGAGTGGATATTTGTTAAAATTTTAGAATAATTCCTACAATTTTCTTAGTGTTCAAGAAATAAATTAAAAACTAATATTGATGTTTAGCTAACAGGACTTCAAGGAAGGACAAAAATGAAAGCTTAAAGCAATTGCATATTATTTTCATTTCCCTAATATTTAATTTTTAAGAAAATATTTTTTAAAAAATTAGCCATGTTGATTGCAGAGCGTCATGCTGCAAAATATTCTCTGTCAACAAGGTCATAGTATAAGCCCACTAACGATGTTCAAAAAAAAAAAAAATCTAGTGATCTAAACCTAGAAGAATAATCTCATAACATTTAGACATTGCTGAATAAATCCATTTGGGCCTTGTTATTTCAAGCAATCATTCATAGTATAAAGATACTCAGAGAGGCAATTACAGATTCTAAGTCCTTTATAGAATTACAAGGGCCCCTTCCAGTAAGCTGTCACGTGTCTCCAGAGATTTAAGTTCCATGCATATTGCACCAGAGGACACTGGAGGGGCCCAGAATATGATGCCACTCTAAGGGGACCCTGTGTGTAGCTTTAGTGCCAGGCTGAGGGACAGCTTTCCTGAGCTTCAGGTACTGCCTGTCCAGTGTGGATGATGCCTGAACCCAAGATCGCCATGCTGTGTGAAGATGTGCTCAGTGCTCTGGAATGGGTAGTGTTCCCTTGAGGGTCAGTCCTTCTCTTGGCCTCGGCTTACTGCCTTATTTGGAAATCGAGTGGTTGTAAATGTAACAGGTATGATGAGGTCATTGGAGTAAGATGCACTCTCCTCCAAGGACTGGTACCATCAGAAGAAGAGACAGTGTGAAGAAGGAAGCCTCCACAGAGGAGCGCTCCTGGAAGGCAAGGCCAGAGGATGGGTCTGTGGGTCACAGTATGCTAGAGATGGCCAGTGACCTAACCACGAAGAGCTAGAAGGATAAGGCAAGATTCCACACCCAACCTTTCAGAGCAGGACCCCTGCTGACAACTTAATCTGAGACTCCTTGCCACCGGAATTGTGAGGCTGTAATTTTTGCTGCAGTAAGGCATCCAGTTTGGGTTACTTTGCTCATGAACCCCAAAAAACAGATCCTGCACATAAGCCTGACACTGCCTTAACACTCAACATACCAGGAATGACAGAAGAGGAACCCAGTGGCATCAAGCAGGCCTTGCATCTACATAGCTCAAGGAGAAGCATAGATGAGCAGCCCAATGTGGAATTTTGAGAGCAAGGGGTATTCTGAAATTCAGTCAGTCAGAAAACTGAGATTTTCATATTTTAGGTCGAGAGGTAGGGCATGCACTCTTTATGTGAGAGATTTACTACTGAGAAACAGGCTATGAACCTGAGGAATCCTTACTCTCCTATTCCATCTCCACAGAATCTAGGTAGGGGCTACAGGTTGCCATGGAGCACATGAGGCTGACGAGGCAGACAGGAACTGGAGCTGAGAAGGCTTTTGTGTCCCCTTTCAATTTCTGGGTGGTCCCTGACACACCTCACACTTGGGCCTATCAGTGGGAAATCTATGGACCAAACCTCTGAGAGCATGTTGGAAACTCAAATACTCAGGCTCTGTCCTGGGTGGAGACTCAGGTGCCTGCATGCAGCCAGCAAGCTCTCGCGTGATCTCTCAGGCCAGGCTCGTGCAGATAACACAGTATCACCAACAAATGAGGCCTGGGGCAAGAGCACATGTTTCATTCTCCACGAGGACTCCCGGGACCTAGAGAGCTGCACAAGCCAATTCCCCCCTTTTCCAGGTTTTAAGCCCCATGTGCTTGGCTTCTTTCAAAATCAAAAATCCTCCTTCGTCCCTCTGTGTCTACCACCAGCGTCTTCATCGTGGCTTTGCTGGCCTGAAGATGAACTCCCCAGCTGGCCCCCCGCTCCAGTGTGCGTTCTTAACTTCACTCACTCGATGGGGCCTGCAGATCAGCACCATCAGCATCCTGGCATCAGCTCAGGCCCCACTCAGGGCCTGCTGGATCACAGCCTGCAGCTCACGCCCCCCCTGCCAGTGACTCTCATGTCCATGGGAGAACCCCAGTGCAAGGTCCTACCTCCACATAGCAACTAGAGTCACCAATTTTTGGACAGTGTGAGACATAAATTCCACTGAAACTTTAATTTTCTGCAGTGGTTGTTGCCCTTACATCAATTTCCAAACTGTCTGTCCCTTGCTCTTATTCTAACGTAATAGTGGTTTGATTCTCCCACCAACTTCATTCTGTGGTTTTCTCAGTTTTCATCCACTTTGCCAACCCAGTAGCCTTATTCTTTTCTTTGACATCTTCACCACGGTGTACAGTGATGCTACTTTTTTTTTTTTTTTTTTTAGAACTGGAGATTGAACTCAGGCCCTTGCGCTTGCCAGGCAAGCACTTATTCTACTGAGCCATCTCCCCAGCCCCTGTATTTGTTTCTTATTCCTCTCTCCCACATCACTATCTTAGCTATCTGAGAGTGAAACCATGTAGGTTCTGTCCATCTCTATAGCCCTGGGCACGATAGGCATTCTATAAATATCAGTTGAATGTGTGGAGGCTGCTGCTCTCCCTCAGACACAGGGGTCACCTTGCAGGGCTCTGTGGGTTCCAGCTAGGGAAGCAGAAGAAAACTGGCACTTCTCTTCTACCTATGACAAGTTGCCTCTTCAATTGGGCTTTAGGTGCATGAACAATAGTTTAGACCAGCCAAGTTGACAGTTATAATTTGAGAAGTCAGCCACCTGGTGTCAGGGCTCTGGGCCATGGCTCAGCCAGGACTTCCTGGGCATCTGCTCTCAGAAATTGGTCAAATAAAGAAATTCAGCTAACAAACACAATGAGATGAATGCCTTCCGAACCACAGAACGTGGCGAGTGGGGTGGTTTTCTTTCCTGTGGTGCTATGGGACCAGCAACACAGATTTAAGTCCCATAATCTAGGGAGAGGATGCCCTGCCATTGTACTATAAAACAAACATTCATTCAACTCACTTTTTCTTGCTGTCTTTTTTGGCAGTCTTCTCCAAGGCTGCCCTCCGTCTCAAGTAGTCATTCTGAATCTCATTGTACTTTGTAGTGTGTTCTTTGATCAGGTCGGTGGTTTTCTTGTGGTGTCTCTTAACCAGGTCTTTCATTTCCTTGTAGTGCTTCTTTTGAAGTTTCACAAATGATTTCTGTTGCTTCAGCTCCTCAATGGTCTGTGCTTCCACTTCTGTAACAAACGAGCATAAGAGCCAAGGAAGGCAAAAAAACAGACATCAGAGGGAAGGAGGAGCAGGAGGAGCAGCCAGTGTTGGAGAGCCACACTTATGTGACACGGCCACCTGCAGCTCCAAGGAAGAGCTTTCGTGTCACATGTATTTGGGATTTTGCCTGATTCTACCATTTGCTGACTTTATGATTGAGCTACCAAGTTTCTCAAACACTCAGTTTCTTCATTTGTCTTTTCTTTTTTCTTTAAGTCAAAGTTTTTGAGCCCAAGATGGGGATTAGGTGATTTACTGAAGAGCTCTCAGGGTCAGGGGAAAAGGGAGGCAGACAGGACAGGGGCAGCAGCTGGGGCAGGTATAGCTCAGCTGGCGCCTGGCTTCTGCCTAGTGCCAGGTTGGTCTCCTTATGAGGCAAGAAGGTCAGCGTCTTACAAATTTGGGACAACTACCAGGAGGCGGCACAGCTAGATGGGGCTTTTCTCAGCTGAGGGCAGTGTGGCAGGGAACGGAGTGCTGTGACTTGTCAGCCTAGCACCCACAGCACTGGCGGCTGTAAGAATCATAACCCACTACATTGCTGGGTTGTGAGGAGGATGATACAAGGGAACTTATTTTTTTTTCACTTTTTTAAATTTAATTTTATTTCATTTTGAAGAATAAAAACAAAAACAAGAACAAATAGCATAAACAAAGACAGAAGCAGAACAATACAGCATACACGTTACAGATTTTGAAATCAAGAATAACAAATTAACAATGGTTGTTATATTATGTATTTTTATCATCAAATCTGTTCCTCAGATTAACAGATATAAATATACAATATTGGACAAATCACTATGGAATTCAGCCCAGTCATCTTAGCCTTCCTAAAGGAACCTCTGGTAACAGCATTTGAGCCAGGATGCAGTCACCATTACCAGAGGCAGAAAACAAGGTAGAAAGTTCATGGTCCATTTCTCCAAAAAGAGAAATACTACCCAGGGACTTTGCCTAAATCCATCCATAGGTAATTGTGGATAAATTCCAATTATGGTAGAGGGCCAAAAACAAAGGGATTCAAGGTGGTACTTAGGCTTTCCAGTGTGGTGGGAAACCTCTTATCTCAGCTGTATAAGGCAGGAGGAGAGATGTCAAAGTAAAACTTGTGGCAGGGCAGGTTAGGGCCTACACAGTTTTTGTCATTTACTTCAGCCTACAAGGGAACTTATGGGGAGTGTTTCACAGTTCTGCCCTGGGGCCTCCACAGTGGCATCTCTAAGGGCCCTGTTCATGGTTCAGCCAGCACAGGCTTGTGCGTTTATCTCAAGCCTGTGTGGTAGGTAACAAGGTAACTGGAGGAAGATCCTTACTCTGATCTGCACAAAAGCACCAGCAGAGTTAGTGGACGCTTACGTGACTACACAGAATTGTTTCCAGTATTTTAGAACATGTTTACTATGCCAGCCTGACTTGGAGACACGCTGTGTTTCCCTGTCGTACTTCATCAGTGCTGGAGTATGCATTTTAAAAGTATGTTCACATTTCTGAAATCAAGACACGCCTTATGGCCACCCCTGGGGTATCACGCTGTCTCAGCATTTTTCTTCCAGCAGTACAGGAACAGCGGGGTGCCTGCCAACTGATGCCTTAATTTCAGTGAATTATCATTTATTTGGACCTAAATTAAGTCAGTGTTCGCATATTTCTATCCTTTGATCTGAACTTTCTGCTTCTGGGAATGAAAAAAAAATTCCCATAAATATTTACAACTGTCAAGAAATTCAAAAATAGTATATGCCATGAATAAAAACAGAACTGAATAGAAGATGATGTGAATAAACATGAAAATCAGAATAATAATTTATGCTCCTAAATGCTAAGGTCTATAAGCAACTGAAATAGGCCTCCTTCCCCTATAATGTGTCTATTCTCTTGACATTGCCTCTTTTTTTAAAGAAAGAAGTCACAGAAAGAACCAAGTATATTACTCAATGGTTTCCCTCAGGCCCAAATGGACTCAGTAAAGTTGTACAAAAAGTTAATACATTAAGGTAAGGATTCACAAACCCGAAGAGTTGCCGAATTTTTAACAACTGATTCCTATTTTTTAAACATAGATTGCAGCAAACCAAAGGTTGGATTCCTGATGTTGCAGCCTATGATTTTAAAAGTTCACCAAAAATACTAGTTTTTATTTTATTTTTATTTTATTTATTTATTTTTTTGGCTAGCTCAGCCTCCTGAGAGAGGGGCTGGCGCAGCATATGGTGCTGGCGACTGAACCGCAGTCCCCTGCGTCTGCCTAAGCTTGCCTATGCAGGCGCTTTAGACCACTAAGCTATCTCACCAGCCCATGTACTAGTTTTTAAAGTCAACACATGGCCGGGGATATAGCTCAGCAGCATAAGCACTTGCCTGGCAGGTGCAAAGTTCCGAGTTCGATTCTCGCCACCACAAATAAATACATACATAAATGAAGTGAACATATGAATGGCTGGTCCTTAGAGTATTCTTTAAGAAAACATTATGTACATTTATGAAAAGATGTAAATATCACTCACAAACCAGCCAGAGGTAATCACAGCTAATGTGTTGGCACAGACCACTGGGTCCTATCTGTGCAGTTTTGTGTTGTTATCTGTTCCTTTTCGTAAGAACCTTGTTGATTTATGTCTCCTACACTGAGTAGCTACTTGGAAGATAACAATACCGGTGTATTAGTTATTTATTCTCTTATTAACTTGTCATGAAATTTTGTCTTATTCATTTACTTTTATAAAAAGTAAAAAAGAAAAACCAGTTTCATAGTCTCCCAGGAAATGAAGTCTCTAAATCATTTTTGTTTTCTTTTAATATGCTCCTCAAAAAAAATTTCTATTATTTATATATGTCATGAGATTTTGATAAAAAATGCTTACATAAAAGTACATAAAGCATAAATTATGATTTAAATTTTACAGCCCTATGAAATTTCAAGAAGTTATCGTGTTCCAATAACCATCACTGAGGTGAAAAAACTGGAACGCTCCCCATGCTTGCCTTTTGGTTACCCCTCCATACGGCAGAGATAAGTCAAATCTGGCCTTTTGTGTTATTTGTTTATTTGGTTACTTATTTATTTATTTATTTATTTGGTACATGGTCTTCCTACACAGCTCAGACTCTTGTCGATCCTCCTGTCTCAGCCTCCCCACTGCTAGGATTACAGGCGTGCTCCACCACATCCAGTCTCAATGGCTGGCACAGTCCACCTGGGGTTTAAATCTGGATTTCTAACGCATAAATTAATTTTGCCTTGCTGTGCACTACTATATGCAGGTGAAATCATGCTCTTTAATATAGTTAAAGAGTCAGCTTCTTTTTCTCAGCATTAGGTGTGTGAATTTTACTCATGTTGTCATGTGTGACTATAGTTCATTCTGTCATTAAATCTTGCTCTATCTGAGGATACAACAAAAATCATACACCCATCTTTCTTTTGGTGGACATTTGGGTTGCTTTTAGTAAATACGAGTGTACATTTCTGTTATGTAATAGCTCAAGCATTTAAAAAAAATTTAAGACTGCATTACACACTGCCAATTAAACTGATGACAGCCTGTACCAATTTTGGCTCCTCTTGCAAATATAGTTAATGAAATAGAAAATAATTCTAAACTGTACCACAGTTCTTCAAAAGCCACATATTTTTTAAAAAAATACTTTTATTTATTTATTTATTTTGTGTGTGTGTGTGGCCAGCTCAGCCCACCAGGGGGCGGGGCTGGCTGGCATGTGGTGCTGGGGGATTGAACCGCGGTCCCTGTGCTTTGCTTGGCTTAGCTTGTTCTAAGTAGGTGCTTTAGACCACTGAGCCATCTCACTAGCCCAAGCCACATATTTTATAGTCACACATTCTGCATATCACAGACGTGGTTAACATCTATGGCACTTCGGGAAGACTTTTGCTGGATCATATTTCCAGTGGAAGACTATTCTTATATTCAGAAATAGATATCTTGTGAAAGCATATTTTTTAAAGCCAGTAGTGTCCTAAATGCCAACTATGATTTTGTCTCTGTGATTACACAGTATAAGATGGCCTACACTGAGACTATGTCTGTATAATTTACTATTATTTTTTAATGTATTTGGTTGTTGCAGGGTCTCACTATGCAGCCTGGACTCGTGGTGAGCCCACTTTCAGCCTCCCCAGCACCTCATCCTGGGCCAGCCCTGCCCCCTCCCCAGTGGGCTGAGCCGGCCAGAGTCCAGGCATAGTGGCGCACACCTGTAATCCCAGTGCTTTAGTCCTCTGAGCTATATCACTGGCCTCTGTCTGTATATTTTTTTAAAAGAGAAATATGAATCATGTTATTTCTGAGGGATAAGCTGAACTTTCTTCTACTTACATGATGCAATATTCAGCTCTCAAACTCCACAAGAGGAAAAGGGTAGTATTTACCTGTTAAGACGCTCTGAATAAGATCTTCGGTTTTGGCAGGGGCCTTCACGGAACCTAAGATGAAAAGAAAATAAATAATTTCTTTGATTTTTTTCTGTCAAAAAACTTTTTTGCAGCTGAAGGCTTGGCTCGGGGGAGCACTGCTTGCCTAAACTGTGTGATTCCCCAGTATTAAAAAAAAAAAAAAAAAAAAGCTTTTGATTTTATCTCTTTACATAAAATGACAAATTATGACTGAAATTTATTTACAGCAAAATTATTCTTGAAAAGTATTTGTTTGGCAAATTTGAGACACACCTAATTAAGTGTGAAATTATAAATAGACTATAGGAAGGGAAAAAAATCTAATCAAAATGATAAATTTGAGGGCTGGGGAGATAGCTCAGGGGTCTAAGTGCCTGCCTGCAGTGGGAAGCCCTGGGTTCGCTCCCCAGTAATGCATGCCACGCTGACCTCAGAACTGGACGTGCCGTGCTGGCCACCAGAACAGGGCATGGTGGCGCACGCTTGTAATCCCAGCTCTGGGTAGGCTCGCTACAAGCCTGAGCTGCATAGCGAGACCCTGTAACAAATAAATACATAAATAAATGATAAATTTAGCCAGAACAATGTTATTGCCATCTTTTTCAAAATCAGGAATGAATTTTTTTTTTTCATTTTTACAAAGCAAACTTACCCACTGGCAGGAATCACCTGCCTAACTTGTGGGCAAAGTTCATTGGTGGCTGCCAAACCAGGGAGCAGAGTATAAGGATGAACAGAACAGTTATGTAGCCTCACAGTATCTCCTGCAAGACAGCGGAGGGGAAGGTCGTGCACTTGCCTGGGGAAACTGCCTTCACAGAGTGACCAGACATTGCCTACAGCGGAGGGTGCACGTCATGCACCCCCCGACAGCTCACCCTGAGAAAAGCCTCGCATGTGTTCTGCAGTGGTCCTATAAAATATTTAGAACTTTGGCTTAATAATGAGAGAACAACTAGAAAGCTCAAACTGAACGACATTCTGGAAAATTTCTTAAGAGTATGAAGATTATGAAAAACAGGAAAACTTGAGCCACGAAAGCTGAAGAGGCCGACAGACACACACACTGCGGGGTCTAGGGTGGGAACTGGGGGGGTAAGCGGAATCCAGTCGAGGTCGGCAGTGCTGTGTGTGTGTTAAGTTGCAGATTTGATAACTGCATCATGATCTTACCAGGCGTTCACTTCACAGGATGAGGAGGATGTTTGAATGTTTTCTGTGTTATTTTAAAAAAGCTTTCTATAAGTTAAATGATTTTAAAATACAACATTCAAATAAGCCAAATGCCAGGATCCTCCAATTTCCCACTTCTCCTAGAAGTACAGGATTGTTTATTCCTTATTTAAATATGCGTTTATGTTTGAGAAGCACTTAACCTGTCTGTACACTGTATATGAGAATCTTTACCTGAAAATATCACTTCTTATTTGTGGTTAATCACCTTTTTACTATTATTGATTTCAGCAAACTTCCTGAGAGCATAGTTTCAGTTCAAGCGTGTTTGGTACAAATTAAATGAGAACTGTTCTTTTCAAAATTTCATCTCAGTTCAATCCCTGGTTCCCCCCCCCAAAAAAAAAAAAAAAAATCATCTCAGGCTGGGGATATAGTTCAGCAGCATAAGGACCTTCTGGCAAGCACAAGGTCCTGAGTTCAATCCCGAGGGCCAGAAAAAAAAAAGTTTCATCTCTTTCCCATGACGAACACCTCTCCTCTGCCCATAAAAAGCCTGCATCTTGTCACTGTGATGCCCTTGGATGGCAAGGGAGGGAGGAGGGAACACGAGGTCATGCCTTTGTGAAAGGGAATTTTTTCCCTTTTACCTCATTAACAAATTTCACAGAAAATTAGCAAGTACACACTCTTCTTCAGCGTTCTATGAGGTACAGAGGACACAGGCAGCAGGAGCCAGTCCCGGGAAGGACACTGTCTACTGAGAGAACTAGGGCACGCATACAGGAATTCATTACATAAACAGTGCAAGAATAGATGTCAAAGTGAGGTGCAGAGAAATCCAAGGAATGGCCTCAGTAATGAGCCATGCATGGGGCCAAGGCTGAGCTAGAGAAGAGAAAGGCAGGAGTGTTGGTGCCATTGGAAGTGTGCCCGTCCTGACTTCACGCTCCACTGCCTGTGTGGCCTGCAGCAAGGACTGCATCCCCTCAAGAACCGCAAGCTATTCTCTGCACTGTGGGAACAATAGCAGGATCTGCTTGCAGAGCTGGCAATGAGCTGGTCAGAGCTGAGGACCCAGGAAGTGCCTGGCACTGGGTGGACAGTCCAGGTTGCTAAAAATAAGCTGGAACAAGAAGGAGAGGTGTTCTTGGCAGAGATCTAGTGAAGCAGCACTGGGAATGGGCTTCTAAAACACTGCTGTTTATACAAGGTATAATAAAAATAGAGTGAGTGTTTAATGTCTTTTACATGTATAATGGTATAAGATACCTTGCCATCAGTCTCTGCAGTACACTGCTCTTCACTTCCAACAGACTTATCCCATCCTTCTTACCACTTTCTTAAGTAGTTCTGGAAGTTTTGCGAGCATCTGTAGTCACTCTGTCTTTGTTGTCCTGAATTATTTAAAATGTTTACCATTGACAGGCATTTTGACTCTGGAGAAGAGCCAGAAATCCTACAGTGCCAGATCCATCAAATGAAGTGGACAAGGGTGCACCTCACTCTTTTTATAAGCCTGCCTTGTGGTGGAATGGTACTGGGCGGCAGCACCAGTGCAGTCTGTTGTGCTTCATAGAGATACTCATGAAAGAAGACTGGCAGAACTGCTTCAGAAAGCAGCAAGAAGGAGGGGATAGGAGTGCTCAGTCTGAGTGCTCAACGTGAGCGGGGGAGATTAATGACAATGAGTCTTTTATTGTAATAGATTTTTAAAAAATTTAAATATTTACCAACTGTTCTGATTACACTTGGAAGCTGCTTGAAGAATTCTCCACAGCTCCTTGCTAGCTAATGGATCATAACCCACCACTAAGTAAAGACACAGATAATCTAGTGGCTTGTCTATACCAGCAGAGCCAAATGATGAGCTCACATGAGTTCTCCCATCATGAATGAATGAATGAATGAATGAATGAATGAATGAATGAATGAATTGATTGACTGATTGATTCACTGATTCATTTATCCATTCATCCATCACACAGACCACCATGCTTTCTACCAGCTACTGCCTTCCTCCTTCGAGGGTGCACTGAAGCCCAGGGCTCGTAGTCTTGTGAGGGACCTTCCAGTTGTTACCTGGAGCTGGCTGGCTGTGCAGAGCCTGGGAGGGCTGTTTGGGTGCCAGGGACGTAGTGTGATTCACTCCATTTTCTGCTGGAGTCGTCCTGGCTTCACTAGGAGCCTCTGATGGTGTTTCCCCAGGATCAGCCTGAAATAACAAATAAGCGCGTTTTTTATGGTTCTCTTATTCCCTTCCTAAACCAGCAAGGGTATATGTCACAGCATTTTCGTAATGCCTTGGCATCTGCAATGCCATTTTGAAACAAACTGGAAGCAAGATAATTCTATTATTGAACCATGATTGTGGAAGTGCATTGTAATTTGGACCTCGTTCTGTGCGCGCCTTTGGGTAGCTACATCCTGCACTGCTTCGGGACCTAACCATACGATTTGCTGTTGACAAATAACAGAGTAGAAAACTTGATGCACACAGAGGGCTGAAAGACACTTGCAGTTGCTTTACTTTTTCTCTGAGCTCTGCTATAGCAACAGGTCTGAGAAGCCCTGCAGGGGAAAGTGGGAGTCATCCTGGCCACGCCGCCCTCAGCCTGTCTCTGCCAGGCACTTAACACGAGTGAGCGGCTCAGACCTCTGAGCATGGTCCAGATCAGCAGAGCTGCGCTGCTGCACCAGTGATGCAGGACACATAGTAAATCATGTGAGCAGCCACAAGATTTAGGGAGGGTCTGTTTCGCAGCAGTCACTAGAGTACAGAGTTTGGAGCAGGATTTGCCTGGGTTTGGACGCTGGCACTACTACGTACTTCGCGTGCGGCGCTGGACAAGTAATTTAATTCTGTTTCCTTGTCTGCACATGCACCAGGGAGCATTGTATTACTATCTTGTAAGGTTACTTAGCGGATCAAATGATTCCACATCATAAAGTGCTTAGAATGCTTTCCGTCATACAATAAATATATGTGTGCTAAAAAATTATATAAAACATTAAGGTCATACAACACTGCCCGTGAATAACAAGAACTACATCAACACCTATCAATTCTACTCACTTTAGCAGCTATCCCACTATTTAGAGGAAACAAGTATTAAATAAATCGAATAAAGGCTGAGCCTCATAAAATAATTGCCTCACTAATTACTTGCTGTGTTAGTTACTCTGCTTTCATTGCTGGGACAAATATCTGACTCCCAAAATGAAGGAAGGAAAGGTTTATTTAGCTCACAGTCAGTGGAAGTTTCAGTCTATACTCAGCAGGCCCCAAGACAGGGTGGCACACTGCAGAGAGTAACTCCTTCAGGGCCTGCTTAATAGCTCAGCGGATTAAAGCACCTGCAAGTGCATACACAGGCAGTAGTTCAATCCCTGGGCCTGCTGTGCTGGCCCTGCCCCTGGTGCATGCTGAGATGGGGATTGAGACTGGACATGGTGTCACCTGCCTGTAATCCCAGCTCTTAGGAGGATGTAAACAGGTGGATCACTCCGTAGTCTGATCTAGTAGTGAGACCCTGATCACCCTGTAGACCCTTCCCCACCAAAATAAATAAATAAATAAATACAAAATAGCTCAATAGAATAAGTGCCTGCCTGGCAAGCGCAAGGGTCTGAGTTCAATCCCTGGTTCCGCCAAAATAAATAAATAAATAAATAAATAAATAAATAAATAAAAGTAACTCCTTCAAGTCAGTGACAAAAAAGCAGTAGAGCAAAGGGAGTGGCAGCAGCTCAGGCAGCTAGCTAGCCTCTCTCCCCACTTTACACTTATGCAGATTACCTGCCCCAGGTGCAGCATCCACACACACAATAATCAATCACACACTCCAGAAGCCGCCCCATGACTGCACAGGCTTGCGCTTGTGGCTTTGGGGGGACAACTAGCCACAAACTATAACACATGCTGTCAATGATGCTTCTTAAAACTCGACATGGCCTGTGGCCTTTTATTAAAACTGCCTTCCGAGTCCAAGCAGGCCTTGTTGACAGCTGGTTTAACCCAATATTGCACTTTGTGGTACACCCATAAAATACACGGGGAAACTCGCTTTTCCTTCAGGCATGCCTGGAGCCCAACACTGTGACACTTTTCCGTGTAATTACAGAGTGGCTGGTGCTATAAGAGCATTTTTTTTTTTTTTTAAAGTCACAAGGTCAGCGGAAAGAATGGCCCTGGTCATCGCTGGTGGCTTCTAATCTGTCCCCAAAGCGTCTGTAAAATCAGAATTCCAAACTGCTAAAAGAAACTGCACAACATACTTTACGCCACAGTTCACCCTGCTTGTGTATCAGGCATGTGCAGTGCTGGGCACACGCTCCATGGCCAGCAGCTGGGCTGGGTGGACGCAGCCAGCTACCCAGCGAAAGCCACGCAGCCGGCACACCTCGCCGCGGTAAAGCACGCCTACCTCATAGCTACAGGAGCGAAAGGGCCAACAAAACTCCTTCTCCTGCTGAAAACACTCTGCAGAAGGCCATGTCCGTGAATTAACACTAAACCTCACTCTAACTACTTGTTTCTAAGAGTTTGGATAAAATAACCACAAAATCATTTTGCTTAGTATCTGACCAGAAATTAGGATAGAAACAGAAGAACCAGAATGTGTTTTATCAATGTAATTAAAAGTTTTGTTCTAGGATCCAACAAAAAGCATTTCAAGAAAAGATGAGTCAGAAGCCAGGACTTCAGTTGCCCTAAGTAGATTTCACTTTCTTGAGAGCAAAAGCACACAATAAACCACAAAGGAAGTAAGCCCCTGCCCTCTAGTGGCCAAATGAAATCATTGCGCTATATATTTTTTTCAAATCATGGCAACTTTGACTTTCAAAAATTAAGATTTTATAAAAAGAATTTGAAACTGTACCAGTTTGAAAGTGAACAGAACCTTAGGGTTTAATTATGAAAATCAGTAAACTCATAATTAAAACATATTTTTAAATAAATTTTATCCTAGGAAAAGACATATATCCTGATTAAAAAGAAGTCTATCCTGAAAGTGAAAATTAAAATGAGGATAAAGCAGTAGAGGCCAAGTATTTCATGAATTTGGTTCAGTGGATAACATGACAAGTAAAGTATCCATCGAGTACCAACCGTCTGACTGAGGTTTTGGGGTACTGGATTATCCCGGCTTTGTCAGGGTCATCTAAAATATTCAATCCCTTACAAACTGCGGTACAGGGTTTCAGGATAAATCCTGAGGGGATTTGACTGACCTGGTGAGGTACAGAAGTGACATTTCTCGTTACACAGGTCTTGATTTATCTTGTTCTTAACCATTCAGCAGAGAAGCATAAACCAGTATGTAAAAAGTAAAGCCAAATTAATATGCTGAGCTGTAAAAGGCTCAAGTCAACAACTTCTGACATTGCCAGTCCTACAGATAACCAACTACTATTATGGACTACTGGACTATATTGGAATATTTTGCTGAGTTCATGTACCTACAATATTTAAATGGCAATGGAATACCCATCTCTGACAAAACTAAACAAAAAAAGTGGGTATAAATGAAGGACCATTTTGTATCTGTATATACACAATAGGATAGATATACAGCTACTTTCTCTTAATCCAATGAGAAGAAAGATTTACACTAATAGTTTTTGCACAGGATATCATGTCTGCATCTGGTACTATGAATAACCATTATGAAGACAACAGTATGCAATGTATTAATTATTGTAACTGTCCTATTAATCGGCTTTGAAACTGTCTCATTGCTATTTGGTTCTTAATAAAATTAATTTTAAAATAAAATAAAATATTCAGTCCTTTCCTTGCACCTGGCTAAGGGGACAACATCATGATTTGAACACCACATGGGTAAGGGACAAAGGCACCAGTTTTTCCAGAATATTATATGGCAGACTGGTAACTTCATGCTGCAGAAATACAGTCCACTCAGGGCTGACTGGGCAGTGCCTGTGGCTTCATTAGAGCCAAGCTTTCCAGAACAGGTGTACAACTTGGACTTTGAACTCCTGTTATAGAAACTAAGTGAGAGAATAGGTCTCCCTCACATTTTTAAGCCAGTCAGAATCATTCCTGGAAACCAGGTCCTAGGGTGTGTATTCTTAAGAGGTTAGGAGTGAAGTATACTGATTTTTGTAATCTAATTTGAAGAGCATCAAAAATAAGAGGGATTAGTCAACAAATACAGGAATTTCTAGGCAATAAAGTCTATACAACCGAATTTGACTTAAGGCATCCAGGTGATAATACATGAATGTTCATTGCACAATTCTTTTCATGCTCATGAATGTTTGAATGGTTTAAGAGTCTGGCAGGGTGAACCACAAACAAAAGACAGCCTTAAGTAGCTGGATTAATTCATATTTTGATTTCAGTTGTTTTTGTTTTCTTTTTAAACTGCTTCATAAGCATCCAGAAAATGAAATTATTTTGGTGGTGTATTTTCAATAGTACTCAAAAAAAAAAAGACTTCCAGGAGTAACTGGAACATGGGTCCAATGATCTCTTAACACCACCGGGCTGCTAAATCATCTTTTTTTTTTCTTAAAGAATACAAAATGGAAAAAAAACATTAGAAATGATACAAAATATCATTGGAATTGAACAATAGTTATTGTATTGCATAATATTATCTTCAAATTAGTTATTTAGGCTACCAGATACAAACTTGCAGGATTGGTTTTTAAAAGTTGTAAGAAATTAAAAAGAAAAAAATTAAGTATTAGCTGCTCTTTTCAATAGACTAACAGAAATCAGTAGTACAATTATCCAAACTATCCTGCACATACATAAATATATATATTTTTCCTTCTTCCTTCTCCTCACCCCACTTTTTCCTTCCCACTGACCAGACTCTTTCCCTCTCACAGTATCTATAGTATCTTTCAGATTTTATTTAGTCTTTCAGGGTCTCACACTAGTGAGACAATACAATGTTTGCACAAGTGGGTCTGATTTATTTACTTATTAATGGAGTTTTTAGTTGCATTCGTTTACCTATGCAAGCCTCAAGTTTATTTCTTTTATAGTTGAGTAATAATACTCCATTGTATAAAAATATCACATCTTTTTTATCCATTCCTCAGTTGATGGGCATTTGAGTTGTTTCCAAGATTTAGCTATAACAAATTGTGCTGCTATAAACATGGGTGCACATATATCACTGTGGTATGATGTTTATAGTTCTTTTGGAAAAATACCTAGGAGGGGAAGAGCTGGCT